TTTGGGCAACTAGACACATGATGGTCCTCCCCACTCCAAACCGTTTTGTTCCCAAACTAAAAATAGTGGATCTTAATATCTGACCTCAGATTCTTCTTAAAATAACTGGTTTCTTTAGTTGCTTAAGTTCTGTGGAGATGGCAGGGAATGGTATCAACTGAATACAGTTGTTCCGTAACAGTCACTTTTTTCTGTTTGTTAATGGGAAGGAGATAGGTGAGTAGTTCCTCAAAGGCCTTGGAACGTGCTACAGGTGACAGCATAAGGAAGAAGTAGCCCTATGTTTATTTCTGTTTAATAGTTATTCTGCCACAGTTTTCTCAGGACATTCTGATAGATGCCACCTCACCTGATTGCCTTGTCTTTTATTTAGCATGCTACTGGGTTTAATTATAACGCTGTTTTTGCCTTCTCTCCTCCACAGATGATCACAGTAGGGTGAAGTTAAGACCTTTACCAGGAAAAGATTCTAAGCACAGCGACTACATTAATGCAAACTATGTTGATGTAAGTCAGAAACAGTCTTATAAACTCACTTCTGAACAGTGAAAGCTGCAGACTCTTGCATGTATTTGAGTACCGCACAGAACTTTCACTAAGAATGCAGCCTGCACACTGTGGAAGGGACTTGAATTATTAACCGGTCTTCCATGACACTTCCTTCATCTCACTTTGTACTGTCATCTTTGAAGGGTTACAACAAAGCAAAAGCCTACATTGCCACCCAGGGACCTTTAAAGTCTACATTTGAAGATTTCTGGAGAATGATTTGGGAACAAAATACTGGAATCATCATCATGATTACAAACCTTGTGGAGAAAGGAAGAGTAAGAGCATCTTGGCTTATTATCTTAATAATGCACCATCAAAATATTTTAAGAGTTCTTGCTGTACTGTAGGAACTTGACCAGGTATAAAGAGTTACAAAAGAGATACGTATTTGCTTTGCTCTTATCATGCCTGTGGTCTGGTGGAAAAGAGAGCTAGGGCATTCGAAGTATGGATTAAATGTGCAGATAGAGGTGTGTTAGGAGATTGCTGTAACATGAAGGAATGCGTTCTCTAGTGCGGAGGCTTTCAAAGGAGTTAATGTTTGAGGTGAAAGGACATTCAACCGAAGAGCAAAAAGCAGGAAAGTTGGAAGATGCATATGGTAGCAAAGAAAGTACTAACAGGACAGGATTGTAGAGGAGTGAGAAGCAATGAATGCTTAAACACCTGGCCATCATTAAGACTTTTGCTTTACATTAAAAAAAAAAAAAATTGCTATAGAGTGTACTGGATTACAAGCTTGGACAATAATAAGGTAGGCTAGAATTAAAAGCTAAGCCTCCAGTTCATTGCTTAAAAATCTACTAGTGTTTCACTTTGATTATAGGATCCCTAATTTTATCTTTGATGGACCCAAGTTGTAACAGAGTCCCGCTTAAGAAAGACCTCCCATAAATCCAGCACAGCCTTCCAAATGACATTTAAATTCCCTTTATAATACATCCTACCCACATGTCTCATAGGTTCAATGAAGAGGTTTCTTTCTTAGGCCCTCTTTAAAGTTCTTCATGTATGGAGAGATGATCATAAATACTAGGCCCATTTCTCAGATGATCTCGCCCACATTTAACACAATTCATTAGCTTCTTCAGAGATCTCCTCTGCCTTGACGCATTCAGCCCATGAATTTCTTTTTCAGTCAAATAAATGAATGTTTTAAGGTGGTCGTTTGAAATTCACAACTTTTTTCTTCTTACAGCGAAAATGTGATCAATATTGGCCAACAGAGAATAGTGAGGAGTACGGGAACATAATTGTCACACTGAAGAGCACAAAAGTACATGCCTGCTACACTGTTCGTCGTTTTTCAGTCAGAAATACAAAAGTGAAAAAGGTATCGAGGGAACTGGGTGGGCTGGCAGGATGTCTCTCTTTAAAAACCAAGTTGGTTTTCATACAAGTATAAAAAAGTATTTTTGAGACATTTTTTCATAAGTCTCTGGATATACCATTGTATGGTGGGAGAGGTACTGGCAGAGCACTTAATAGAATGTAACTGGCCCAGCCGATTTGTTGATCTCTTCTTCCAGGAAGTCATTCTCTCAAGTTTTGCTAACACTCAGCAAATACTGTAGCATCTGTGTGTTGATGTCACTTTTTAATTCCAATTTCCTCACAGCTTCAGAGCATTGTTTCCCAAAGAATGTTTTATTCATAGTCCCATGGATGCTTATGAAAAACCAAGTTCTGCTATTCAGTAAGAATGGGAGATGAATGCTAGCTCACATTTTCCCATTTTAGAAATTTACAGAAATTACAAGTGACTGGAATGATGGAATTAAGAAACCTGTAGAACCGATTCCTGGTGTGACTTACCCATAAACTCAACTCCTTTCTATAGTACTACTAATAGCCTGAAAAGTCACACTGCATGGAAATGCTGCTTTTGAGCTGTTTCAGTTTCCAGCTGAAACTCCACTGTCACAGCAATATTTGGTTCTTCAGATAGATAGCTCAGTAATATGGCAATCATTTGTAGCAGTGGGACCTTTTTTGGCATCTTGGACATGTTTAGAATGTTATAAAATAGTAGCCTCCTTGTCCCAGAAGAATGTACATTTACTCAGACTTTATATACATTTTTGGGTGGCTCTGAAGCCCATCTGTGATCCAAGATTAACAGTCCTTTCTATGTCTAGTTATTTCCAAAAATGGCAGAAATACACGAAAATCGACAGCTCTGTATCTGAGTTCTCTATCATATAGCTGTTGGTCCAAGTGAGCCAGAGCCAATAGACAAAGCATATTACGCATGGGAACCCTTCAGGTGTTTAAACAGGCCCACTGTACCTTCTTCTAGAAACAGCTTAAGTCAGAGATATCAGTAGGAAATTCAGGTATTCTGTATCCTGATAAGAAAAAGCAGAAAAATGAAAGTTTACACACAATGACCTATCAGAGGAGACTTTTCATTCAAAAGGGTTTGTTCTTTAAAGGAGAAGTACTCTGAGAAAGTGGCAGATGCATGAGACCTTGCCTCTGATTCTAGAGATGGAGAATCATCTGACACTTAATATTTTCCCTTCACTTCCTGGAGAATGCACAGCACAACCTGTCCTCCAGCTCCAGAAGGTCTCCCTTCTGGAGACAGTGGGCAAAGAGTGAGAATCATGGCCCATGATCTAGTTGGGCAGATAAAAGCTAAGTGAGGCAGCATTTAGAAAATGGAGGCCTTGCAGGAAGTTGACCAGCGCTCTGGATAGTTCTAAGACTATGGAGCGTCCAGAAGACCAGAATTAAATGTTCATTCTTGGGATTTTTTTTTAGTTGTAGATGAACACAATATCTTTATTTATATATGGTGCTGAGGAGTAAACCCAGTGTCTCACATGTGCTTGGCAAGTGCTCTACAACTGAGCTATGACTCCATTTCATGAAAAACATTGGGCACAAAGATGAAATAACCTGGCTCAGCACCTGGGGGAATGAAAACAGAGGGCATGGGTCCTAACACCCTTACCTTATTTGTTTCCAGAATGCTCATATGCAGATTAAAGAGGTCTTCTTACATCATTCACAGGGCCAGAAAGGAAATCCCAAGGGTCGTCAGAACGAGAGGGCAGTGATCCAGTATCACTATACACAGTGGCCTGACATGGGAGTTCCTGAGTATGCCCTCCCGGTCCTGACCTTCGTGAGGAGATCCTCAGCAGCTCGGATGCCAGACATGGGCCCTGTGTTGGTGCACTGCAGGTAGAGCCAGCGTCCTTCTCTTTTTTCTACCTGGGATTCAACACATGAAGGGGGCTGAGCAGGAGCTTGGGCCTTGTGAACTTGGACCATGGAAACTCTGCTACTGTTTTGATTACTTGGGCCAAATCTTCCTCTAAAAATGGGATAAATAAACCTGTTAGTCTTTTCAAGTAGCTATATTTCCATCACATTAAGAAATCATTTGCAATTCTGAAAAAAAAAATCTGCTCAACTAGATGAATCTCTGGTTTTAATAAAATGATCTTATCAGTAAAAGTTCCTATTGTAAGAGCTTTCCACACCAGAGATTATGGCTTTTCTGTAAGGTTCCTCCTAATATTTACAGTACATATGAAAAGATGTTTTTAAAGTTTCTGGTTTATACATGCCATATAAAATATCTTTTAAAAGGCACTTGGGCTTGGGAAGTCCAGGCAGGAGGATAGCAAGTTGAAAGCCAGCCTTAGCAAAAGCAAGGTGCTAAGCAACTCAGTGAGACCCTGAGTTCAATTCCTGGTTACCCCCACTAAAAAAAAAAAAGCACTTGGAGCTGGGCACGTTGGTGCACTTGTAATCCCAGCCACTCAGCCTTGAGACTGAAGAGACAGCTTCAGCAACTCAGTGAGATCCCATCTCAAAAAAACAAAAAGTGAATCCTATTTTTTTTTCCTTCAACTAAAGTAATTTTAGATGGCTGTTTAAAAATGCTTTGATTACATAGAAATGCTTTGATTACATTTCATTTGCTATTGCATTCTTGACCTTTTGGGTTTTTGTTTGGCTTCAGTATTCAAATGGATGTTACTTATTCTGTGACTGATGTCACAGAGCTGCATGGCATTTTCTCAGCATTTCTTTTGGGCTGTTCTTATAAAATTCTTTCACAAAACAAACCCTTTCCACAAGTTAGAACACATCTTCTACTTGAAATCCCATGAGAACTCTAGTTTTTCACTAATCCATTTAGGAATCACTAAAGTGGAGATAAGTGTCAAACAGCCTAGGTATTGTGCTAGACAGGAACCTTCTGGGGCATTCTGCCCAAACAAGCTTGTTATTCAGTACTGCAGAATTCAGATCTTCCTGGCTATTTATTTAAATCACAATTAAGAAATGCACATATAAGAAACCAAATTTTCTGAATGTACCATTCTTATTCTACAACTGATTACTAAAGAAAAACATCCCTTATTTAAATAGGAACTGTCTAATAATGAGATCATTAGTTTCTTAGATGTATGCAACAGAGGCAGATGTACAGAAAAGGGGTTTATTAAAAGGATAATGCATACTCAGACTTCCTGGGAGAGTTGGAGAACCAAGCGCAAGTTCAAAGGCTGCCCACACAGTGCCTCAGCAGGCCAGTCGTGGTGTGGAGATTGCTGCTGCCATGAGACGCCTCTCAGTCCCTTGCAGCTGGAGTCTCATGCCTTTGCTTGAGCTGCAAGGGAGTCCGAGTGCACACCCTTTGTCTCCCAGCTCCTATGGGAAAGTCTGTACTCCTTGTCAAGATTGTTCATAGTGAGACGTGTCCTAGTGAAGTTTTGAGGTGTAATCTATGTGAATATCCTTTGTCATTTATACTAGGTTATCTAGACAAGAGGGTTATTTCTCATTTCATTAGATACTTGCATTGTGACCATGGATTGGGGGGGGGGGGGATGACAAAGTCCTAGTTGAGTGCCTTCATTCTTTACAGCGCTGGCGTGGGCAGGACAGGCACCTACATTGTGATAGACAGCATGCTGCAACAGATCAAAGATAAAAGCACAGTCAACGTCCTGGGATTCCTGAAGCATATCAGGACACAGCGCAACTACCTCGTCCAGACAGAGGTAAGGAGTGACTGCCAGTGCGCTCTTGAGATTCCAAAAGTTGAGCCACACTGGAGAGACAGATTCATCCTCTTAGGGCTTGAAGGAATTTACAGGTTTGTATTAGAAGATACACTGACCACAATTCCACTCTTTGGATCACAGGATTCTGTTTCGATGTGGATCTTAACATCATCTCAGTAATCAGATAAAGTTGCATCAAGAGCTGTGTTAGATGCTTTGGGAGTTAAACATGTTTTCTGGCCTGAAAACATAGTAGATGATGGGTCTTAAGCCCTTCATTAAGCACACATTCTCAATTGCTGGCTGCATTGAACCACCTGTTCCAGGCATGGTGTGGAATTATAATGGAAAAGGAACCACCTAGTGACAAATGCTTGAAGGAGCTCACTAGGAAGTCCCTTATGGGAGCAGAGTTAACCTAAGGCTAACTTCGTGAATGGCTGGCTACCTCCACATCTCTCACTGGTGATCACCCCATATCGTACCTTTCAGGAGCAGTATATTTTCATCCATGATGCCTTGTTGGAAGCCATTCTTGGAAAGGAGACTGAAGTATCTTCAAATCAGCTGCATAGCTATGTCAACAGCATCCTCATACCAGGAGTAGGAGGCAAGACACGACTGGAAAAACAATTCAAGGTAGTGCTCTGAAAAACTTCTTGAGCAAGGAAGCAGAAAAACACCTTGCGTTTGGGATCATGTCTTCTTTGCGTTAATGTATAGAAGGAATATCTACGTAAACACCACCATTATGTATTGGTGGTGTTTAAGTAGATAGTACAGTGCTGTATTGTCTTCTGAGTAATTTACAGCTTTATCCAAACAAACATCATCCTCTGGCCACAAGGTACAGAAGACTTGAATGGTTTGTTCTGGTCCAAAAGAGTATTCAAGATGTTTCTTCTGACCTATGCAATGATACCTTTATTCACAGTGGTTATTTGTAAATATATTGTCCTCAAAATATGCTTTTTTAGAAAACTAGACCAAAAGAATTTGGAAACTACAAGAGTTACTACTATACTAAACAATACTATAGAAAAGTTAACTTTCCCTAAAATGGTTATTTTTCTTTGGGGACATGGTGAAGTTCAAAGGCAGTTAAAGTTTATATGGACGTGACAGAAGTAAAGGTGGAAAGAGAGACTGTGAGGGCAAATAAATTAATTTAGACCAGAAAAGCTCAAAGAAATAATTGTAACTTACGAATGCCTCCTGTCTTTCCAATTACTGAGTGCCTTCCTATTTATTAGTCTATTCAATTCTTTTTTTTACACAGTGTTCCATATGTGATTTCTCATTTTGTGTCAAGAAAATTAATCTGCAGTTTTAGTTTTCAATGGTAAGGTTTTCCAGAGTCTGAAACTTTCATTTGACTCTTAGCTGAAGAAATGAGACAGCCAAGCAAATTATCCCAGGTGATATGAAAAGAAAATAGATTACTTTCATTGAATCCATTCCTAACAATAATTTTACACTTCTGGCTCTTAATGTTCCTACTACAAAACCATTTGAGGCAATTAATTGTGAGGACACAATTTATCATTTTAAATGTTTACAGTGAGTTCTTACAAAATATTAAGTACCAACATTTCATTTGAATCTTTTTTGCAGAATTTAAGAAGAGTTCAGAGACGGGAAAGTGTTACCGTGAAAACTAAAACTGCACAGATTCATCTCATTATTTGCATCTTGACACAATATAAGAAACCACGTGCAAAAAAATAAAAATTGAAAAGACTAATGACAGCATCCTTAATTCAAAAATCTGAAATCCATAATGTCACAAGTAGAACCATGAGCCTTGTTTAAAATTACCTTCAGGATAGATATTATATACACACACACACACAAATTTCAATCCTAACAACAATTTTAAATTTATAGCTGTTAAACATCCTGGCTATTGTAAAGCCATTTGATTCCCATCTTTAAAATGCAAAATTTTACATATACACAGAAATATATTCCAAAATCCTAAAGAATATGACACTGTTAGTTGCACCCATTTTTGGATAAGGGAGACTCAACCTGTATTAGTTTGCACATCCCTTTAAAAAAAATTCTCCAAAGAAATCAGCTCAGTTGGAAACCAGGTTATTACAGGCACTAATCATTTTAGAACTCAAGAAGGAAAAATCAGAAACTCAATCATGAAAATTACCTCTAAGGTGTATTATGGTAGTAATAAAGCACTTGAAGACTGTACCCATACACTCATTAAGGTAGACCCACACAAAACAGATTGATTATTCTCCTGTTTACCTAGCTTGATTGAACTGAACTACTGATTTTTTTGGTATGGGAGAGTGAACATAGGGGCGTTTAATCACTGAGCCACGTCCTCAGCCCTTTTTCATTTTATTTTGAGGCAGGGTCTCACTGAGTTGCTTAGGGTCTTGCTAAGTTGCTGAGGCTGGCTTTGAACTCCTGACCCTCTTGCCTTAGCCTCCTGAGCCACTGGGATTACAGGTGTGTGCCACCAAACCTGGCTACCGGGCTGATTCTTAATAACGGCTTTAGAACAATGTCAGTTCAACAGAAATGTACCCAGAACTTAAGTTCTTCATCTTCAAGAGTAGAGTCACTTGAGTCTTATGGGCCGCTGTGGAATTATGGACAAAATGCACAATAGCAGTAACCTATGCAACAGCAAAACTCCACACAGTTCAATCATTACTACACACAGTCCCTGCCAGAAGCCTAAGGCTGACAGTAGAATTAAGACAAGGACACAATCAAGGTCACAGAAAGACGTGCTACTAGTGAAGCAAGAGAGCATTCTTCAGGGCATAAAAATGTTGTTAGTAATCTTATTGATATTGTTCCAAATTGCCTAATAGGTACTATTGGTTATACCCGTGAATGCAGACTAAATTGTTGCTTTTCTTTCAGCTTGTCACACAGTGTAATGCAAAATACGTGGAATGCTTTAGTGCTCAGAAAGAGTGTAACAAGGAAAAGAACAGAAACTCCTCCGTCGTACCATGTAAGATCTTAACAGTTTGATTAGTTCAGTGTGTTGGTATCTTTTTAAATTGGGTTTCATATAATCTGTAAAGAGGCAAATGTTATGTTGAACTGAGTCAAAGTGGAAGGTGGCTTTGGTGCCAGCAGTCATCCATCTGATGTGAACTCAACATTTCTCGGTGAGCAGAAGATAATCTCAGGACACAGTAGAGGACATTATGGGTGTGCACTAAAGACACAGGCATGGCTGCTCATTGGAGAGGTGAAGAAGGCCCCTGCTTTTATAAGCCTTTAATGGAAAAAAAGAGCAAAGTATACTTTTAGGAATACCAAATCTCAAACCCTCTCGCATGTCTGTACTGTATAGTTTCTGAGCGATCTGCTATGAAGACCTCTTGCACAGTAAAAAAATTTTGATTCCTAAAATGTTTATCCTGAGCATGTGCAATAAAATTTCATTTTACATTGTTTTAGCTGATAACACTTTTAGCTTCTATAAATATATAGGTATAAGTCTTGGACAGGGAGCCAGGGGATAAGTAAATCTCAGAAAGAGCTGTTGGTTCCTATTTATAATATGGTGTTATTTTTTTCCATGTGATAGCGGAGCGTGCTCGAGTAGGTCTTGCACCGTTGCCCGGAATGAAAGGCACAGATTACATTAACGCTTCTTACATTATGGTGAGTCAACAGCCCATCAGACATAAAGTCCATTAAACTGAAAGGTATTAAAAGATACCACCTATGCCACAGATTCTGGTTTTGAAATATTCTGTGTAATATCAAACAGATTGCTGTATCTTGATATTTTTAACCAGACTATGGGACAACAAAAATAACTAAATGAAGCAAAATGCTTCTTAAGGAATTAATGTTGAAATTACAGTTAAAACAGCAGGGGTAACTTGAAGTGAATTGCACTTGGAGAGAAAATTGTATCGTGTTAGCCGAAGTACATCGAAGAATTAGACAAATGTATTGAATGCTTTCCTCAGTTATTTTAGTAGGGTCAAAACAGTGCTGTTTTGTTTCAGGAGTATATTTTGTCATGTCATAAAGTTAGAAGCGAACCCTCATAATCACTGATTTTTCCCTCTTCCTAACTGAAGGGCTATTACAGGAGCAATGAATTTATTATAACCCAGCATCCTCTGCCGCATACTACGAAAGATTTCTGGCGAATGATTTGGGATCATAATGCGCAGATCATTGTCATGCTGCCAGACAACCAGAGCTTGGTGAGTACAGCACATCTGCTATATATTAATGAGCCCGGGAGGCTACAAACATAAATTACTCTGATACCTTGCCACAGGGCTGTACTGTCTGTAGGTGCTAGGGAGGAAACTTAGACTTTCTGTGGGGGTTCACTTCACTTATTCCTGTGTGTTCCATTATTTCTCTAATGCTGATGACATTACCCTTCAGTTGTACTCTATGTGGTGGAAAGTTTCACAAAAAGGTGACTTTAGACCGCTGAGCTGCTGTACGTCATATTTCATGTATGGAATCTGTAACTATGCTTACTCTCGATATATTAACCCAGTGAAGCCTCACACCATCTTTAATAACATAAGTACTACTACTCTCATCTAGTAGCTGAGAAAATAACTGACTTGTCCAAGAGCATGCACGAACAGTTGGAGCCAGGATTTGAATCTAAGTCATCTTGCCTTCAGAGTTCATGCTTTCAATTGATTGTTTCTGAACAACAACAACAAAAAAATCATATCAGAAGTACTACTAATATATCAGGGTCAGACCCCCTGCAGGGAAGAGAGGCTTTGGGGGTCCCACTTAAGATTTTGACTAAGCTACAATTTCTTTCCCTACTTTAGTCATTCCCTATGGAAGCCTAAACTCTGTAAGCGATGGGTGAACAAATTTATAAAACAGATTTACACATTTCTGCTTAGATCTCCTGCATACTTAACTTTCAGAATTATCTGGGTCTTAAAAGGTTACTATGTGGACATGTGAACCCACAAGATAAAAACAATGAGGCTCTGCCTCCATGAGTGTCAGATTAATGAGTTTTTTAATCAAGAAAGAACAGCCTGTGATTGAACCCCTAGTCTCCATGACATGCGTTTGACTGTGTGCCCAGTCAGTAGGAACTTCTTCACTTTGTCGCATTTTGCTCCAGCTTCAGAATACCAAGGCTGCTTCTGTATGGTGGAATGGCAGCAAAGTTGAGAATCAAAAGCTGGAGTGTAAATTTTCAAATTAGCTGGCAACAAGGGTCTATTCAGTTTGGCATGTGGAAATTGGAGGCTTTTAGGGTTGTTAAAACAGTCATTTGTTGGATGAGTCAGTATTTTCTTATTGTCACTTAACAGAGGACAGGCACCATAAAGTATCTACCAGGAGCTCTTTTGTATGGACTGGACCCAATAATAAGGGGTACATGTTCTATGGTCGGCAAAGGTACAGGAACCACTATCGAACGCATCTATGTCTCCGGGAGGCTGGGCTAGAATAAGTGTCTGCTCTCAATTGTGAGATTAAGAGTTTCATCATTGCACAGTTTTTCTAAAAATGAGCTCTAGATGATTCTTATTATTGCTACTTGTCTCTACCAAAACTGTTTAAAACAATAATCCTATAAGTAGCCTAAAAGTCACTGGTTCCTAACTCAGAAAGCACTGTTA